ATTTTGAACTAATTTCATAATATAAAGTGGAAAATTTAACTTTTTCAATTTAGCAATCAAACCTTCATCCCAAACACTGTCGAATTCTTTTTCTATGTCTAGAAGAGCAACTCCAGTTGAGTGGCCTTCAGATTTGTTTGAACGAATTAAATTGGTAACTCTTAAGAGTTGATGAGTAGTTGAATGCCCATGGCGAAATCCAAACTGCTCATCTGCAAAAATTGAGTTCGTATTGATGTGAAGCATCATTCTATTTAAAATTATATTTTCAAAAAGCTTACTTATTGAAGAAAGCAAACTTATTGGACGGTAGCTAGAAACTTCAGCTGGATTTTTATCCGGCTTCAAAATTGGAACAACTTTTGCATTTTTCCATTTATCAGGAAAGTATGCCAAATGGAAATATCGGTTAAATAATTTTACCAAGAAAGACAAGGTACTCTCTGGGAGTTTTTTGATGAGTATATAGAAAATTCCATCATCACCTGGAGCTTTCATATTATGAAACTTTTTAGTTATAGACCATACTTCGTCCAAATCAGTCCCCCTGGAATCATCAAAAATATTTTCCCGACAGAAAATATTCAGAAAATCCCGAGCAACCTGATTCTCAATAGGACTAGTAAGACCCAAACTGAAATTATGGGAACTCTCGAATTGCTTAGCAAGTTTCTGAGCTTTATTCCAAATTTGTGAGCAAAATTTTACCACCTTCTTTAAGCGCTGCAAAAGCCTTTTGAGGTTTGTAACTCGGGTCTAATTTAGAAACATTATTTTCAAAAGTTTTGTTCCTCAGGGCAGAGAATCGCTTTTTAACAAATTAAAATGCAAATCCCACCAGATAACCTTCATGGCAGAATCGCGTGTTATTTGATATTGTCTCCTACGGACATTTTTAAGACGGATCAAGAGCTGAAGATCGTCGTCTATTATAATTGAATCGAATTTAACCTCGCATTCTGGTACTGAGGCAGCTCTTGCTTCAACTATAGAAATAGACAAAGATTCAAGAGCATAATTAATTTCATCTTTGGTTTGCAAAGATGAGTGTCCAAATTACATATTGCACACTCAGCCATATATATCACCTATACACATAAACTTTACATGCAAAACTACAGAGACACAAGTAAAAACGAACGAAAGAAGAAATTTACAAGCCGTAGCTTACTAAAAGGGTACCAAATAGCTTGCCGGGCGAAGGAAAAAAAACAAAAATTGAACGAGAACCAGCGGCAGCAGCAACCGTTCTCCTACTTATCCAACAAATTATCACTACGGGACACGCGTAGGATCAATTCTACCGCGTCACAAGCACAATTTCACACTTAATTAATTGAATATTTATCACTGCACTGCGAAACAAACTATAACGTTCGCCATTACCAATACCAATATGTTGGACGCATTAATGAATCACCTTACTCATATCTGATTGTAATTTAGGAAGCAAATATAATGGAATATGAATTCGCATTTTTTGAGGTCCTGAATTTAATCAAGTTTAACTAAGTAGGAAATCCAAAATACGTACATAGGACCGAAATCATAGGTTACTTCTACTATATTTTAAATCAATATCTAGAAAAAAATGCACGAGAATTTCACTACACAGCTTAACGTAGTCTACGTCAAGCATGCGGTCGTGGCTTGTACACAACCCCACCAATTTGTTTTTCTTATTTATGCCAGCTAATCGAGTACCAATATTAAGAAAACGCATCAATAATATTAGAGCTGATTTAGTGAGATAAAAGTAAGAATTACAACTTTTCCCTTATGATATTCATATCGATAGTAATGTCAAAGCCGTACCGCCTGATATCATGCTTACTACGAATATCAGTGTCGGAAGTAAAATTCATTTCTAGACCAATATCTTACGTCAATTGACATTGGTAACAGTACGCATCACGTCTTTAGCTACAATAGGATTTTCTTCCTTCTCCGGACCGGTGCGTTGTGCGTTCACTAATAATTCTCCAATTTGATGGGCTGTTTAGGGAATGAAATAAAGGCGAATACAGGATTTATACTAACGATAAGTTTCCTTTTTTTATTTCAGAGTACCACAGTGCTCCATAAACCGTTGCAAAAGGAAGTGATCGGTCAGACGTTTATCCCTTAACCATTGCTTACGGTTTACCTTCGTGACTTGGCGGAAAGTACCTTCAGGTAAGTGCGTGGCTGCGACGACTTAGTTCGATACATTTTCTTCCCATTTTGGACGACGCATTTAACCTAATTGGAGTCCCATGAATGGGTGTGTGTGTGTGTGTGTGTGCTTAGAGTGTGAATCTGTGAATTCACCAATCCGTGTATTGGTGAGGGAGTGGCGCAGCACAAGTGAGACAAACTTGTGGTTTTGTGCGATTCTTTTGCGTTATACCTTATTAATGTCTTATATCTAAAGTGAAAATCTAAAGTTAAAGGAATTGAACCGAGTACTAGTGGTCGTCTCGAGGTTAGTGGAGATTTACAGTTTCATGGATAGGGAGAGGGAAAAGGTTTGAAATATGATTTATGATACAGATATTTCATTATTCCTAAAACATGAACTTATTCCTATTCAACTTGATATCAGCAGTGTATTTCTACTATAATTAAAAAAAAAAAAACATTTAAAAAAAACACACAAACCCCACAAAATACAAACTAACACAAGATTAATCAAAATAACAATCTAAGGTTAATATTTTTACAGTAAACATATATGAGTTTCGTAAACTCCAGATCACGCCCAGCCAAACCATCCCGAACTGGAACATTAGGTTGTCTACCTCGAGCCCGAAGAGAATCGTAAAGCTCAGATCTGACTCCACGATGCTCAGCACAAGACCAAATGATGTGATCGGCGTCTTGGTAACCTTGTCCACATTCACAGAGATTGCTATCCCTCAGCCCAACACGGAACAAGTGAGCGTTTAACGAATAGTGATTGGACATGAGGTGAGACATCAGACGTATGAAGTCTCGACCCACCTCCAACCCTTTGAACCAAGGAATCTTCGACACCTTAGGGATAATTGAATATAACCATCGTCCCAAACTCCCTTCACTCCATTTATTTTGCCAGCTGGCGAGTGACTGTTGACGATGAATGAAGAAAAGTTCGTCGTAGGCGATTTGTCTATCGTAAATATCGCCTTCCATAGCGCCCACCTTTGCAAGCGAGTCCGCCTCTCATTGCCCGGAATCGAGCAATGAGATGGGACCCATGCAAAGGTGATGACAAAAGATCGTAAAGATAAAGCATTTAGAAGCCCTCGTATTTTCATGACAAAATACGAGGAGTGCTTTACCGGCCTCATGGAGCGAATAGCCTCGACAGAACTGAGACTATCCGTAAAAATAAAATAATGATCTGGTGCAAGTGAGGCGATCGTTTCTAGCGTACAATGTATTGCCGCCAGCTCAGCAACATATACGGAACAAGGAGCTTGAAGCATTCGAGAGGCACTATGAAATTCGTTATAAATACCAAAACCAGCAGACGCCTCTATTAGTGATCCATCTGTGAAGAACGATCTTGCGGAATCAACTTGGCCAAACTTTGCAGTGTATAATGGCGGAACAATCATGGAACGATGATGTTCTGGGATTCCGCGAATCTCTTGCGTCATAGATAAATCAAAACTAACTGAATTGCCGAAGTCGGAGTAGCATACACGATGAGGATTATGTTGTGAAGAGCTGACATCCTGTCTTATGTACACGTAGTACAATGACATAAATTACTTCATTACTTCACAATGGGTGAGGAGCCTGAGGGACAATTCCGAAAACCGATCAGAGAGTGGCAATATGCCCGCCAACACTTCAAGACTCATCGTATAAGTCGAGTGCATTTATCCTAACGCGATACGAAGACAGCGATACTGGATCCGTTCCAGTTTGATGATGTGCGTTTTAGCTGCCGACTGGAAGCAGAAACTGCCGTACTCTAAAACCGATAAAATCGTTGCCGGTACAACGTTAGAAGATCTTGCGGATGGGCTCCCCACCACGCTCCGGTAATTATTCGGAGAAAATTGATCCTTTGTTGGCATTTTAGTCTCTGATACTCAATGTGGGATCTCCAGGTGCATTTAGAATCGAACCAGACCCCAAGATATTTGAACGACATAGAATGAGTGATCGGTTTACCAAAAATTTGAAGCTTCGGTTGTGCTGGGCTATGCTTCCTAGAAAAAACGACCAACTCAGTTTTCTCCGTGGATAATTCGATACCTAGCTGAATAGCCCAAGTAGACAAACTGTCTAAGGTATCCTGTAAGGGTCCTTGCAGGTCGACCCCTTTGGACCCTGTGACACACACTACACCGTTAGTTGTCACTAAGACAATTATCAATTTCTCTGACGTAGAAATCTATGCGAAAGGTGTCTTCTCGACGGCCCATCGTGAAGTCCTTTGGACGCGCAGCGACACGTAGCGGCTCAGCGATGCGCAGAGAAAAAAAAGAAAAACACGGTTGGCACTGGTAATTAGCTTGTGTTCGACTTCCACAGAACTGTAGCAAGAAGACATCTGTTCAGCTCGGAAGATGAGCGCTCCCTTTAATTTTCATAAATTCAAGACCAACAATTGAAATGGCCTTAACTCCATTTTGTAAACAAACCTTGTAAGGCCATTTTCTCGCGCACCGAATTGGAATTGAGTCTGGGCTCCTAAAATGGCTTGAGTCATATTTAACTGACCGCCAACAAATAATTAAATTCAAAGGACAGAAATCGAGTCCATTTCAAGTCACTTCAGGCGTCCCCCAACACAGTTCGAAAAAGTAGTGTAAATTTCTGTCCAATATGATGCACATAAATGGAGCGTCACATATCATATAACTTTACATTATATATCATGTAAAGTTCTGACACATTTCATGAAATGGAGCAAATATTGTATACAAAAGCCCATATGTGTAAACAACATTGTTTACAAGTTGCTCATATGATGGAAGAGGAAATGAAGTCCAACCTAATTTACGAAGAGCGTATAATCCACCATGTCTACGGAACGTCGGTTAAAAGGCTTGAAGACACGCCAAAAGAGTCTGCTAGCATCATTCAGCCAAATAAAAACATTCATGGACGACTACCAGGATGAGACCGATGCATTTCAAGCTCCTTTCCGATTGGAGCATCTAGTGTCGTTGTGGAACGATTTTAATGCGGTTCAAGCGGAGATAGAGTCGCTAGACGAGAGCGACGTCGACAATCAACTCAAGAAGCGCATGGAATTTGAGTCCTGCTATTTCAAGGTGAAGGGTTTCCTTCTCTCGGTGAATAAAACCCCTACGCCGTTGACACCTACTTCTTCTCATTCAACTGCGCATGTCCCTGCTTCTGCTTCCCACGTAAGGTTACCCGACGTGAAATTACCGATATTCAGCGGAAAACTTGATAGTTGGATGAATTTTTACGATATGTTCGTCTCGTTGGTACATTCATCTCATGAACTGTCTAATATTCAGAAGTTCTATTACCTCCGCTCTTCGCTCTCTGGTGAGGCCTTGAAACTCATCCAAACAATCGCCATTACGGCAAACAACTACCCAGTCGCATGGGTACTACTGGAGAACCACTACCAAAATCCAGCGCGGTTGAAGAAATCCTACGTGGACTCGCTGTTCGAATTCCAATCGTTGAAACGCGAATCATCAACGGAACTGCGGACTCTTGTTGAAAGGTTTGAGGCAAACGTTAAAGCATTGAAACAACTTGGCGAAAAAACTGAATTCTGGGACGTGATTCTCATCAGGATGCTCAGCACCAGGCTAGATCCTACTACAAGACGAGACTGGGAGGAGTTTTCATCGACACAGGCTGCGATTTCCTTCGAGGACCTTACTGCATTCATCCAGAGACGCGTGACTGTTCTCGAAACCATCGGAAAGTCAATCGAAATTACACCAGTCAACAACGTAAAGAAGCCCACGCAGCGGACGATTGCCAGCCACGGAGCATTCCAATCCAATTCCCGGAAGTGTGTCGTCTGCACCGAGCACCATCCGTTGTACCAGTGCACCATATTCAGCAAACTCACCCCTGAAGACAAAGAGAAGGAAGTTCGTCAGCAGCAATTGTGCCGAAATTGCTTGCGAAAAGGTCATCATACACGAGACTGTTCCTCTACGAGTAGCTGTCGGCACTGCCGGGGCCGTCATCATTCTCAACTCTGCACCAGTGGAAGTCCGAGTGCCAGCTGTTCAAAGCCATCAGACAATACTCCATCAAAGCCACAATCAATGAAGTCGCCCAATGAACAACCCTCTGTGTCTCTATCGGCAACCCTCGACAAAGCACCTTGTTTCGCAGCAACCATAAACCAACGTAAGACGGTCCTCCTTGCAACAGCAATTATCCTACTGGTTGATGACAACGGAACGGAACATGTTGCTCGTGCACTACTCGACTCCGGCAGCGAATGTTGTTTTATGACGCAATCGTTCTCTCAGCTCATCAAGGTTCGGCGCCAGAAACTATGGTGCCCTATCGTCGGAATTGGTCAGTCAACTACCCAAGCTCGCAACAAACTACGCTCTACTATCCGCTCCCGTGTGAGTCAGTATTCTACTTCGTTAGACTTCCTCATCCTACCGCGGATTACCCTAGATCTTCCGTCAACCTCCATAAATGTTTCTTCCTGGGAAATTCCACCTGGTATTGAACTCGCTGATCCGTCGTTCCACCAACCTAACACAATCGACATCATCCTGGGTGCGGAGATCTTTTTCGACATTTTCAAATTCTCAAGCAGAATTCATCTTGGTGATGATCAACCAACACTAATAAGCACCGTACTTGGTTGGGTCGTATCAGGACAAAGTGAAGCTTCCCAGCCAGCGAAACCGATCGTGGCTAACTTGGCTACCTTGAGCGATCTCCACCAACTCATGGAACGATTTTGGTCCCTCGAAGACGACAACTCATCATCCTGCTACTCAGTGGAAGAAGCGGCTTGTGAGAGCCACTTCCAACAAAATGTTACCCGTACTCCGGAAGGTCGCTATTGTGTTCGTTTGCCAATCAAGAAGGATGTTCTCGCCAAGCTGACCGATAATCGACGCACTGCACTTCGACGTTTTCATATGCTGGAAAGCCGGCTATCTCGTGACGTGAACCTCAAGCAACAATATGACAGCTTTATGGAAGAATATCTATCTCTAGGCCACATGCAACAAGTGTACGAGCACGAGCATCCACCCACACCCTGCTATCACCTACCTCATCACGCTGTTGTCCGTGAAGAAAGCTCCACAACAAAGGTACGCGTGGTATTTGATGCGTCATGTAAGACGCCCGGCGGCCCATCATTGAACGACGCTCTTATGGTGGGGCCAATCGTACAGCAAGACATTCGCGCTATAATAATCCGTTCCAGAATCCGACCCATTATGCTGATAGCCGACGCCAAGCAAATGTATAGGCAAATCCTCGTTGACGAACGAGATTCGCCTCTCCAGCGGACGGTATTTAGAACTTCACCTGATGCACCGATACAGACCTTCGAGCTAAAGACGGTGACGTATGGCACAGCCTGTGCCCCTTACTTGGCAACAAGAGTACTGCAACAGCTAGCCAGCGATGAGAAGGAGAATTTCCCCCAGGCTGCCGAGGTACTGACAAAGGACTTTTACGTGGACGACCTATTCTGCGGCGCCATACAGCTCCGAACTCAACTCGATACACTATTGCGTAAGGGTGGCTTCGAACTTCGGAAATGGGCGTCAAATGTACCAGCTGTACTCGAAGACGTCCCGACAGAAAATCGTGCTATACATTCATCTGTGGATCTCAACCGAGACCACTGCCTAAAAGCGCTCGGCCTGCACTGGGAGCCTGCAACGGACTACTTGCGGTATCGAATCAACCTCTCCGAGCACTTAGGATAGCACTTTCACACATCGCACGTCTATTTGATCCTCTAGGCCTAGTGGGCCCAGTGGTTACTTCTGCCAAACTTTTTATGCAGACATTGTGGACATTGAAGGACGACGACGGGAAATGCTGGGACTGGGATCAAGAGCTACCTTTATCAACTAGAAAGCATTGGCACACATACTACTCTCAACTAAATCTTCTAAACGATCTTCACATAGAACGCTGCAGTATGATCCAGAATCCAACATCAGTCCAACTGCACCTATTTTCCGACGCATCCGAGCGAGCATACGGAGCATGCGCTTACCTTCGTTCTACCGACGCTTCCGGAATAGTAAAAGTTGCACTTCTGACAGCTAAATCAAAGGTCGCACCATTAAAGCATCCCTCGCCTTGAACTGTGCGGTGCCTTGCTAGCCACGCAACTGTATGAGAAAATCATCGCATCGCTTCAACTTCAACTCGAAACTTTCTTTTGGGTTGATTCTACAACGGTGATTAACTGGCTGAAATCTCCTCCGTCGGCTTGGACAACCTTTATCGCCAACCGGGTTTCAAAAATTCAACTCGCAACTGAGAATTGTCAATGGAACCACGTCCCTGGTCAACAGAACCCCGCTGACCTCATTTCGCGAGGCACATCAGGAGAAGTTCTTCTCCAGAGCAACATATGGTGGCACGGACCAGACTGGCTACAACACAACAAGAATTTGTGGCCAAAGCAACAGATTATCCCAAATCACGACACTGAAACACTTTACGAAGTTCGAAAATCGCCAGTTACGGTCACTACTGCAACGGAAAATCCCTCCCTGATTGACGAACTTGCCAACAGATTCTCTTCATTCCGTCGCTTAACACGAACCATCGCCTACTGCCGCCGATTTGCTGAGAACTGCAAATTGAAATCAGCTGATCGATCTGGCTCCCACACACTGACGTGTGAGGAAGTGGAGGCAGCAGAAAACGCACTTATTTCGCAAGTTCAACAACAGGAATTTAGCAACGAATGGCATCTACTGCAACAAGGAAAACCTGTCTCAACTAAATCGCGACTCCGATGGTTCCATCCTTTTTTGTCCGATAACCAGTTGATTCGCATCGGGGGTCGACTCAATCAAGCGAAACTACCGTACAACACAAAGCACCAGATTCTCCTCCCCAGCAAACATCGTTTCTCTATGCTACTGGTTCAACACTTCCACGAAAAGCACCTCCATGCAGCACCGCAGCTTCTAATTAACATTCTCCGAACCCGGTACTGGCTCATAGGGGCCAGGGACTTAGCCAAAAGGATTGTTCACTCGTGCGTTACCTGCTTCCGCGCACAACCGAAATGTCTGGAACAGTTCATGGGTCAATTACCAGCTTCCCGCATCAACATGGCACGACCGTTCGCAATCACCGGCATCGATTATTGGGGACCGATTCTGATTCAACCACCTCATCGTCGTGCTGCACCCCGGAAGGCGTATGTGGCGGTCTTTGTTTGTTTCTGCACCAAAGCCGTTCACCTTGAACTAGTCTGCGACCTTACAACTTCAAAGTTTATTCAAGCTCTCCGTCGTTTTGTCTCCCGTCGAGGACTGTGTTACGAAATATATAGTGACAACGGGAGAAACTTCGTGGGGGCGGCGAATGAGTTGCGACAACTAGTTCGTAGCAAAGAGCACAAGCAAGCACTAGCCGAGGAATGTGCTGAAAACGGGATTCGATGGCAATTCAATCCACCTAAAGCGTCGCATTTTGGAGACTTTTGGGAGTCGGCAATATACTCTGCTCAGAAGCACTTCATCCGCATCGTAGGTCCGCACAAACTTGCTTACGACGATATGGAAACTCTCCTTTCACAAATTGAAAGTTGCCTCAATTCAAGGCCAATTGCACCGCTGAGCGACGATCCGTCCAATTATGACCCTTTAACACAAGACCACTTCTTGGTGGGCACCGCTCTGAAGGCTGTTCCTCAAATGGATTTATCCTCGATACTGTACAATCGGCTAGGGTACTGGCAGCACACTCAAAAACTGCTGCAAGATGTATGGAAGCGGTGGCAACTGGAATACGTTTCGACACTATAACAATGAACTAAATGGTATAAGCCACCCGTCATCATCGAAAAGGGACGCCAGGTTCTGATGAAGGATGAAGATGCACCACCGATGAGCTGGAGAACAGCGCGGATCACCGAAGTACACCCAGGCGCTGACGGTATTACAAGGGTGGTAACTCTTCGAACATCAAATGGAATGTTCACTCGGCCTGTATCGAAAATTTCGCTGCTGCCCATCGAATCAACAGCACCAAAACCTGGTTCATCCAGCATCGAAAGTACTTCCAACGACGATCATCGCAACAGCATCCAGTAAACGACCTATAATGAAATCAAAACAGTTTGGAACCTTTAGAACAGACAAACATCAGCAACGATCGACCACATCTGTATGACGTCTACGACTGACAGCTGTAAACTTTCATCGATTTCGCCGAAGGAAACGATTGATCGACAAACTTGTCAGAAATCAACATTTCTGAAGGGGCCAGAATATATGGGTAAATTTAAGAAAACAAAGCTGTATTCGAATATGTACTAGTCTACGTTGGTTGACGAAATAAATAAATAAATAAATAGATCTAGGCCAGTAGAGAAAACAAATACAAGTACTAATTTATCTGAACAGTCATGGAGAAGAATCATCACGTGAAACAGGACATAAATTCGCCGAAAAAAGTGAGAAGGAGTTTAACGAGAAAAACTAAAAATGGGAGGAGCTTTAGCTGGGTGGACACTGATATTCTGCGGCCTTCCAACCTGTCGCAGACACCAGTTCAACCCCTGTCCAGCAGCAGACGGGCCGAGACTTTTGCGAGTGCCCAATCATTGAACCGAAAGATATGGGATTGACCGGTCCGATTTGCTGATCCAGCTGCCTACACGGCATCATCATCTTCCAAAGGCTTTAAGCCTGTACTACCATCAGCCCTTTTCAGGGCCACCAAGATTTTCCGAAAGAGTTAAATTTCTGAACATGTTATAAGACCACTTTTCGGCCCCGGAACCGCTGTGTCCCAGAAGGAGACCAGCCCAGACCCCAAGCTACTGGTCTAGAGCCGACGGTAGCTTCCAGGGTGGGCACACAAAGCCATAAAGGTTCCGGGTCTCAGGGCGTTTGGGAGACCTTTCGGATGTGAGGGGACCTAGAAAAATGCGAATTATTTTACCTTACGCTTTATTCGGCCAGTGATGATAGTGGGGGCGGAGCAGAAATCGGGTGATGGTTAGATCTCGGCCCAACGTGGCTGAAGAATACCGAGGTTGGCAGCTCGGGCGGGATGACGGGCGGTAGTGTCGCTCTAGACGGTGATCGGGCGGTCGCCAGGAAGGGAATCGATTCTTGCAGCGTTGGTGGCAGTGATGGATGCGACTATGGTGGCGGCTATGGACCCAGCGCTCAACTGCCCCTGTTCACTATTCGGCGTCGTCGACCGCCGACGCTGTACCATGAGTGATGATAGCCTGGTGGATAGCGGACCAGCAGGGTGTGTTCTTGAACCGCCGGGAAGCCTGGATACGGCGATGACTTTGGTTGACCTTGGTTGTGGGGTCGCCCGGAGCCAGCAGAGGCTGACGCGGCCACAATGGTCGACTTGCTGCTGGAACTAACAGCCCGCGCTTTCACGGCAACGAGAGGCCAATTCTTGCTAGGCGCTTCGGTGACGACCCGACAAGCACAGTTGCTGAATAACTTTCGGAACGATAACCCGGACCCGGAGATGATTAGACGGCCGTACTGATACCGGACACTTCACAAACCGCGTGGGTCGAAACGGGGGTTTTGATCCCGAAAACGTCTGGTTTTTCGCCAAATTTCATTCGTCCTCGGCAGAGGCTTGTCACTTCCTGATCTCATCGCTCAGTCGAGATCTCTCTCCTCCGTTCTGCTTCGGCCAGTCGTTTGCGATCCTCTCCATCCGCCCACGATCGTAGGTAGAGTAGAGCGCTATCAGCTACCTACTGCTGTCAGACGGCACACGCGATCCACGCCGTCGGGCGTTGATCGCCCCCACTTCAAATCGACCGTTAGCTACACTAACAATTTTATTTACCCTACTCCCCACATCTAATGATGGAAAACAAAATGTTACCCACCGGTAACAATGTCCTAACAAAAATTCATATCAAAAGGTTCTTTTCAGGGCAATCATAGTCATACTAAAGAGTGAGAACCCCTCTCAAATTCCTATTCCTACACAAAACACAAGCTCCTGCTGCAGTTAAAAAATGACATTTATTATATAAGACCACGTAGTCCTACGTCACCATTGCGTGCAAACCCATAGGGCTGTCTAATGTGATGGAAATATGCTTTTGTCGACTGGTCACCAAATGCTTACACTGCAACCGAATTTGACTCAGTGTGACTTTTACTCATGTGTTGGGATAAATTCATGCGCTGAGTGACCTATGCTTGCAGAGATTTTTCATATGAATGAGTAAAAGCGACTCACTCTCTGAGTTAGTTTCGTTTTCAGTGTAGACGGTCATGAAGCTCGCCAGCCAGATGTAATACACGGCGATATTCAAAATTCTGCTTTGGTCACTCACTTGAGCTAATTTGCCACCGTCAACGCAAACTATGTCAACTGTCAGATTTTTGTATCAGCTAAATGTGTAACTAAATTAAATTACTTGACAAAACAATTACATGGAACCGTTAAAGTGAACTGCTTGGATAACAATAATGTGACACAGAAGGCACGAAATTACACCGTTTGTTATCAGGTGAATCTTTGTCATTGCCGAAAAACTAAATGAGATTTTGAAGAAGGATCAAGCCTATCTATGTGAAAAACATGTTTTTCAATATCGCGCAAAAGTCTGTCAATGATAATGACAAAGCTCTGTACTGCTCGCCAGTACGAGATTGTGGATTTGCTATGTATTAGTATCGTTATCGGAATTCGACACTGCGGAGCAGATAAGTTATCAGAATCCATTTATTAAAACGCT